TCCTTGAAGCCCTGGAGTCACGGGGGTCCCCCTTCTTTGTCTCATTTCACCACCGCTGAGTTGAGGGGATCTGGTTTGAATCTACTGCTGGGCCCTGATCCAAGTTTCCGCTGTCACCGAGGAGGCAGGACTGTGTCTGCCCTGCCATCCCCTGGGTATCTGGACCAGTCTCTTTGACACAAGGAAGCAGAAGACCCACAAGTCACCAGACCCTTGTAGCCCTGCCTGGATTGTCTCTGGGCTTGAGAGGCATCCGTTCCCACATGCCCTGCGGAGGGGATGGTGATAACTGAAGTTTGCAGGGGCCCTGCCTGGCAGCCAGTTTTCACAGCCAAAGGAAGCAGCGTGATGAGATAATAGTGACATGGCCATGGCAGGGAAGATGTTGCTATGGCAACACAGCAGCAGGGCTCTCCTGGGATGCGGCATCACAGCACAGCACACTACAGATGACGTCGATACCGTGTTGGTCTCTGCAGGGCTGGCACACTTCCCCTCCTGCTCAGGCTCATCAGAGACCCTGAATTCAGCTTCAGGAGAAAATGGGAGCCAGGCATCTGGTGCCTGCTCCTTCCTTGGTCAGGCCATCTCACCATCATCTCATCATCGTGGTGCCACCAGACACAGCCTCTGCTCATCCTCATAGGCTCTTTCTGCTCCCTGGCGCTTGCTTTGTTTCCAAAGCTAATTAACACCAGGCTCCACTAATGTGCTACGAAGTTCCCTGGGGCTCCTGGGCCCCACCACCTGCTCTTCGGCCCTTCCACTCCATTTTCCTGGTTTTCCTCCTTCCCCCAAGAGGATGCCACTCTGACCCTGTCGTTGACCATCTAGCCCCCAGTACAAAATGTTTGTTCATGGTGATCCTCTGTGTGTGTGTGTGTGCATGTGCACACATGCGTGCATGCACAGAAGCAAAAGCTTGACGAGACAATATTTACACTCACTGTGTAAATGCAATCTTTTCCATATTATATAGAACAAGTACATTATTTTCTCTTCTATTATATAAAATATTTTGCTGGCCGTGCTTATTTGATCACATGACCCCAGTGGTTTCATGGTTTGGAACGACCCGTTCAGGTTCACGTGCCTGACCAGGGATGGATGGCTCAGACCCCTCTCTCCTTCCCAGCACCAAAAGTGGAGGGGGCGGGGCTAGCTGGTGTCACTGTTGTAGGAGTACCAAGATGAGGCAGACATGGAGGTCTTCCTCCGGTCCATGTCCACTGGTTTGCAAGCTGCTTACCTTCCTCATTGGCCAACAATCAAAAGAGGAGGATTTTGCAAATCCCAATAACTCAGTGAAAGGAAAACCAACCCAACTCCAGTTTGTTAATATAGATGTATCATGTCTTCTCTCTCCCCGTCTCCCCTCTCTCCTGGTCTCTTCCATCTCTTTTTATCAGAGGAGAGATGGATGTCCAGCACAGGGTCTCATGCATGAGGAGCCAGGGACTCCACCACAGCCTGGCATGGAAGTCTTGGAAGGAATTAGGGGTAAAGAGTGTGGGAGAAAGAATTAGGATATGGCCACTTCCGACTCTTAAGTTAAATCCTGTTTGAGGCCAGGACACTGAATCCCGCTTTTCCCAAGTCCCACTAAGACATTAGACCTCATCATCAAGATTCAGTGAGAGCTGGGTACAGTGGTGCACACTCAGAATCCTGGCACTCAGCCCAGGAGATTTGCTTCAAGTTCAAGTATCGCCTCTGCCACATCGTGAAACCCTGTCACAACCAACCGACCAGACAAACCAATGACAAAAATTCGGCGGTCACTGAAGCAAAGAAGTCCAAATGAAAAAGTTAGGGAACGTTAAAGAAATCACACTCCAGAGAGAACCAGAAAAGTCCATCTTGAGTTTGACTGTGAACCTGTCACTACCGAGTCAGGAGACCAGTTGGTACGGCTTTGATCTCGGACCCAGGGTCTGTCGTGAGTGAGTCACATAAATGCTCCCCCGCCAGGCACACCCGGTGCACAGACATACATGCAGACAAAACACCCAGACGCGTAAAATAAAGCTAGTGTTCTTGGTTGTGAGCCTAACCTCTAACGCCCGGGCCATCTCTCCAGTCCCAATAAATAAACCCAAAGCAAGACAACTTAGTTGAATGTTTCTGCTATTATTACCACCTGTCTCAGGGGTTCTGTTGCTGCAATACAACACCATGGCCGAAAAGCAACTTGGGGAGGGCAGGAAGGGTTTATTCGGCTTACACGTCCATATTGCTGTTCATCATTGAACGAAGTCAGGACAGGAACTCAAACAGGGCAGGAACTGGAGGTCTGTTTTCTGACAGAACCCAGGACCACCAGCCCAGGGATGGCACCACCCACAATGGGCTGGCCCTTCCTGCATCAGTCCTTTTAATGAGGCAAATGCTTTGTAGCCGGATCTTATGTATGGAGGCATGTTCTCCGTTGACGTCCCCTCCTTTCGGGTAACCCCGGCTCTGCCAGGCTGACGTTGATTGCCCCTCCCCGAGGCAATACCTCAGTCTTTGATGCTCATCTCGCAGGCTGGCGCCTGTCTTCCGTGGTACGTTTTGGAGTTACAGAAGAGTTCTGACTTTATCTTAGTCTCCATGTGATTCTGGAGACAGGTGATGTGTTAGGGTTTCATTGCTAACGACAAAATACCCGGGGAGATAAGATAGCAAAGATCCATGTGTGTGGGCTCACAGCTTCATAGTGAAGTTCAGTACACGGTCAGCTGAACCCGTGCCGAGCAGAGCGCAGGGCAGAGGGGGGCACGGGGGATGCGGGCCTCTCATCTCCGCCACCCCCATGCAGCCTGCTACCCCTTAGCCACTGCCTTTGCCGTAGACCCACGCCCCACGCCCCACGCATCCCCACCTTGTAGCTTGATTTTTTCGCCTTGCCCATAGTCAGGACAAATCTCTGTTACCCGCCAGTCCCACAGCCGCTCAGACCCAACCAAGTAAACACAGACACTTATATTGCTTTCAAACCGTATGGCCGTGGCAGGCTTCCTGCTAACTGTCCTTATCTTGCTAACTGTGCTTTTATCTTAAATTGATCCATTTCCATACATCTATACCTTGCCATGTGGCTGGTGGCTTACTGGCGTCTTCACATGCTGCTGGTCATGGCGGCGGCTGCAGCGTCTCCTTCTGCCTTTCTGTCCTTTTATACTGCCTAGCCACGGCCGATCAGGTTTTATTTATTAACCAATCAGAGCAACTTGACATACAGACCATCCCCCAGCACAGCCAAGTGCAGACCATCTCAAACACCTGCACTCAGGCCCATGGTCCTAATCATCCTCTATACGGACCTGCTGGGTAACGCCACAAAGAACCTGAGAATGGGCTCCCACAGGACATACAGAACATCCCACAGCACCACCTGATCATCCTCAGGTGTGCACATGTCTTGCAGCCCCGTTTCCTCTCGCAAGGACGTGGAGTTAGGTCAGGGCCCGCTCTGTGAACTCAGCTCAGTGGCCTCCTTCAAGGCCCTGCCTCCAAATGTAGTCCTGTTCCGAGGTACTGAGGTGGGGACTTTACCTTGTGGCTATTGGGGACCAGGAGAACCCGAAAAACTCTGGAGCCTGAGAGTAGATGAGGCTGCAAGTGTCGGGGAAAAGGCAGGTGAGGTGACTGCTGATAAACATTGTTCTTTTGGGGGGCCATGAAAATGTTCAGAACTTGATTATGGTGACCACTGCCCACCTCTGCCAAGTCCCACTGAAGCCCATTGAATCATGGGCTTTAAAAGGATTGAGTTTTGAGTATATGAATTACATGCCTCAATTTTAAAAACTGTTTTTTTAAACTTTATTTTATGTGCGTTGATGTTTTGCCTGCATGTAAGTCTGTGTGAGGGTGTTAGATCCTGGGGTTACAGACAGTTGTGAGCTGCCATCTGGATGCTGGGAATTGAACCCGGGTCCTCTGAAAGAGCCACCAGCTCTTAATTACTAAGCCATCTCTCCAGCCCCTAAAAGCTATTTCTAATTATGTGTATACATGGATGTGTGTGTGAGTGTGTGTGTGGGGGTATGTTCATGTGTATGCGGTCAGAGGCCGGAAGACGTCAGATAACCCTGGAGCTGGAGTTACAGGTGGTTGTGAGCTGCCTTACCGTGGGTGCTGGGTCCTCTCGAGAGCGGACATGATCTCGACCTCTGAGCCATCTATCCAGTTCCTGCTCTAACTTGTTTTAGGGGAGGACAGCCGGCAAAGGTCACGCTATATAGGAGGTTGTGGGGAAAAAAGGGAGGGGTAAGGATGAGATCATGAAGATGATCTTTCCGGGGACCTCGGATAGCCACCTAGGATGGCGGCCAGTATCCTCTATAAGTCCCCCGCTCGGAATGCTCTGCCTCCATTTCCAGGGTCTCGGACAAACCACCTGCCAGCTTCCACCATCCGGCGCCCCTGAGCCCCGTTGCTCGGCTACAGAAATCAGAGCATTGCTTGCTGCTGGGATCACAAAGCCGAGACACAGAAGGAGCATGCTTGGAAGGAGGGGGCTGGGCTGGAGGCAGAGCCTGTGGCCAGCCAGAGCCAGGCGGTTCTGTGGTGTGCAGCCCCTCCCTGCCTGGCGGATCTGGCTGCTGTGCTCAGAAAAGCAATTTCCTTTCCAGCGGCATTCGGGAGGCTCGGGATCGTCTCGCCTGCTTCCTCACCTCCTGTAACAGTCCCTGTGGTGTGGTGTGCCGTGCCCACTTTGTGCTGTAGCCAGCACGGGAAGACGGCCAGTGTGCAGCATCAAGGAGCTGCTGTTCCAGCGTGCTTCCTAAAAAGGGCTTTATGCTAATGTTCCTAACCGCTTCCAGAACTGGCTGGTGCATCTTTTTTGTTGTTGTTGTTGGGGGGTACACATAGGCACTGACAAGCTAAGTGTACAGTACATCACAGTGTAAAAAGTGTCTAACTGTGTAAAACAAAACACAAAAACAAACAAACAAAAAACAACTCCCACTCTAACCCCAAATTTAATTTTTGTTGTTGTTCGTGTGACTTAGGATGTCCCTGATCTTGAGAGACCATTTAAAAGAGCCCAAAGAAAGAAACACAGGGACAGTCGTGCCCAGGTGGAGGACGCGGAGAAGGCAGCGCAGCAGATCTTGCCGGAACAGGTAACTAACTACTGTTTGTGCTGTTGTGAACAAAGGGAGTCAATCTCGACTTTGATCTTTCTCTATTTGATGTCTCAGTTCCTATTAGAGTGGCAGGACACACCACTGTGCAGCTGGGACAGCAGTGAGTGGCTCCAGGGAATTCAAACCCCGAGAACATAAAATTATAACAAAGTTTTGTTCTGTCAGTCACATTCTGTCATCCAAGGTCGCACGGAGAATTAAAATCACCCAACAGCATTATATGGAAAGTCTAGGAACAAAGGCGCCTTGTTCTCTGGCGCCCTCTGGTGGAGCACAGAGGACGTAGCATATCTGAAGCGGGAGATACACTTGGCTCAAACCAGGATCCAAATGCTTCCCCCACCCCGCTCCAGTGACCATGACACCAAGGATAAAACTGTGAAAATCTTCCTGTGTCCTGTGAGTCCACCCTTGAGTTTCAAAATACAGAAACTTGAGATCTGGAGGAGAAAGCTTTTGTCTGCCTCAGGTACATGTGGAGGCCAGGGTCCTTGAGTAGGCGGACCCTTCCCACTCCTCAGGATCCCCTGCTAACGAGGGAGAGCTGGCCAGGCAGGCAGTTTGGGAAGACTTGGTAGCATTGGAAGTGGATGCTGCAGACATCGGGCTGCGGCTGGGTTGGAGGACACGGGACACTGCTAGGCATGTGGGGTTGGGAGCGTGACCTGGGTGCAGGGGCTTCTCTCTCCTTTGGGGCCGGGGAAGTACTGCTCCACTCCTCTGCTTGGCAGGTGACGCACCTGTGGATGGGCTGGGGCTGTGCTGCGGGCTGAGTCCCTTTGGTGGAAACACTTAGCAACCTGTGGACCAGTGTAGGCAGAAGGGCGAGCCGGCAAAGACAGAGAAAGAATTGGAGACAGTGAGCCATCCCAGGAGCTGTGGGAGCTGCCCTGGTGTTACTGGCAGGGAGTGATCTCATATGGGACCCGTTGACCCTCTTGGTGCTTGCCCGAAGCACCGAGATGTTTGGCACCCTTGCGCACAGTCACCAGAGGTTCCTGTTTTCCATATCTCATGGCTAACTAGATTGCTAATTAATCACAATGAAGAAAACACTCCCTTTATGTTTCGTTCACAGATTAGAGGATACTAATGAGAGAGTTCTAAAAAAACATAAAACTGCCAAGTGTCAGTACTAGAAAAATTACAGATTTAATCTGCACCACTACGTGCGTCCCTCTCAAAGCTCCTGAAAGCCCACACACGTGCACACATAGGAATGCACACACAAAGACCAAGAAGACATTTTAAAAAATCAACAGACAGAAGCCAAGCTTCCATACTGTAGGGAGGAAGATGCATGTGAGCTTCAGAGTAAGTGGTCCTCTATTTAAAAAACTACTTTTTAGGCTGGGGATAAAGCTCCGTGGGTAAAGCATGCTCTTTGCAGGTATGAAGATGTGAGTTCTGTACCCTACACCCAATTAAAGCAGTTGGGGGTCGTGGTGCACACCTGTGATCCTAGCATGGGAAGGGGGTGATGGCAGGATCCCTGAGGATCCCTGACAAGCTTGGCCTGCTTGGTGAGTTCCAGGCCAGTGAGAGACCCTCAAAAACAAGGTGAATGGCTCCTGAGGAACACCACCCAAGGTTGACCTCTGACCTCCACATATATGTGTACATGCCACTGGATTGCACACACACATACACACGTGCATTTAGTATTTAATAAGGAGGAACAGGGCTGGAGAGATGGCTCAGCAGTTAAGAGAACTGGCTGCTCTTCCAGAGGGCTTGGGCTTGAGTCCTGGCACCCACATGGAGCCTCACAACCACCCTTACCTCCAGCTCCAGGGGATCTGACACCCTCTTTTTTTTTTTTTTTGTCTCTGCTACAATCAGAACTGCAAGTGGTGTACAGATATACACGCAGGCAAAACACCTTTTCATAGTTAGGGTTTCTATTGCTGTGATAAAACACCAGGGCCAAAACACTCAGGGAGGAAAGTGTTGATTTCATCTTACAGCTTCTCCTCCATCCTCTGGGGAAGGCACTGCAGGACATCAGAGCTGGGACCTGGAGACAGGGCCTGGAGTATGAGCCACAGAGGGGTGCTGCCTAGTGCCTTGACTCCCAAGGGTTGTTCACCCTTTCTTATAGCACTCAGGACCACCAGCCCAGAGACGGCACCACCCACACCAGTGATCAGTCAAGAAAATGTGCCACAGTCTTGCCCACAGGACAATCTGGTGGGGGTATTTTCTCACTCAGTTGAGATTTCGTCCCCAAATGACCCTAGCTTGTGTAAAGTTGACATAAAGGCCAGAACAATGCTCATACACACAACTCTTTGTTGTTGTTGTTGTTGTTGTTATTTTGTTTTGTTTTGAGACAAGGTTTCTCTGTGTAGCTTTGGAGCCTATCCTGGACCTCGCTCTGTAGACCAGGCTGGCCTGTGACTTACAGAGATCCACCTGACTCTGCCTCCAAAGTTCTGGGGATTAAAGGCGTGTGCCACCACCACCCGGCCACACAACATATTTCTAAAAACATTAAACTACAGAGGCTGGAGAGATGGCTCAGCGATTTGAGAGCACTGGCTGCTCTTCCAGAAGTCCTGAGTTCAATTCCCAGCAACCACATGGTGGCTCACAACCATCTGTAATGAGATGGCGCCCTCTTCTGGTCTGCCGGGACACATGCAGGCAGAACACTGTATATATAATAAATCTTTTTTTTTTTTTTTTTTTTTTAGATTTATTTATTTATCATGTATACAGTGTTCTGTCTGCATATGTCCCTGCAGGCCAGAAGAGGGCACCAGATCTCATTACAGGTGGTTGTGAGCCACCATGTGGTTGCTGGGAATTGAACTCAGGACCTCTGGGAGAGCAGTCGGTGCTCTTAACCACTGAGCCATCTCTCCAGCCCTATATAATAAATCTTAAAAAAAAAAAAATTAAAAACGTGAAGAAAAACTTAACGACCTGGCCTATGGTGGTCAGCTGTGTATCAGCTGTCCCATCTCGTGCAGGAGGGCCTTCTGAGAGCCAGGCAGACCAGGATCAGGACTGCATTAGAAAAAACCACAAAAATAAAACTACAGCCGTGTGTAGTCTCCAACCTAGCAACCTCATGTCTACAGTTTTTTTTCAGATGCTATTGGCACAGGGACAAATGACCTGGAGACAGTGTCATTAATGATGTATTATCTGTAAGGGCACAAGGTGGACAGCACTGACGTGTCACGCAAAGCAGACTGGACCGTGAAACCAGGAGCAGAGCTGAGGGTTTCTGTGCCTGGATATGGAGAGATCTCTGGAGCCCGGGGTTACCACTCTGGTTGGTGGTGTGAGCCTGGGAGAGTGGGGCTGATAAACGAGGTGGACTGGAGTCTCCTGCAATAGTCAGCTCTATTCGGAGCATCAGACAACTTATACTTCAAGGGTTAAGAAGAGTCACCCGAGTAAAGTCTACAATCACAAGGACGGGCTGCATGTAGCAAAAACATGTTTTTCCGCAGAGGCACATAAACAAAGAGCAATAGTCAGTTGTAATGAATAATCTGAAGTGAACTCACTCCTGTCCGCTACACCTGGGAGGTGCACAAAAACATGGTCCAAGAACGGTTCTGTGGTTTGATGAAACTGAGGTCACAAGACTCTTGTTTTCTTGGAACTTTCTCACAGGCGCTCATAATTCTCTTCATGTGACTCCATTCTCAGACTGTGTTCAGACAGCCTTGTGCCAGGGGAAAGTGGGTGCAGAAGCTTGGGCAGCCTCCGTGGAGAAACAAGAGCAGACTGATGTGTGTTTGGAAGAGGATGCTTGTAGCATGAATCTTAGAGAGTCTTATTAATAAAAACAAACCCAGGGCCTGGTATTGGGGTGAATGCTGGAAGATCAGAGAAGCAGAACAAGCCCCAGCTACCTCACCTTGCCAGTTCCTCAGCTGATCCTGTTTCCTCAGACTAGAAGCCTCTGAGTCCTCATCCAGAATGGATCTCAGCTGAACTGCTGCTCAAAAGCCTAAAAGCTTAACCAGCTTCTAGTTCCTGGTCCTCATGCCTTATATACCTTTCTGCTGTCTGCCATCACTCCCTGGGTTAAAGGCTCTTGTTACCACGCCTGGCTGTTTCCAGTGTGGCCTTGAACTCACAGAGATCCAGATGGATCTCTGCCTCTGGAATGCCAGGATTAAAGGTATGTGTGCCACCATTTTCTAGCCTCTGTATCTAGTGACTGCTCTGTTCTCTGACCCCAGATAAATTTATTAGGGTGCATAATATTTTGGGGAACACAGTATCACCACAGACGCTGACTGGGGTCATTTGAATGGGAAATGTATTTGAAGACTTGGACCCCAGTTGGTGGCGCTGTTTGGGGAGGGCCATGAGAGGTGCAGCCTTGCTGGAGGAAGAACTTCACTGATGCTGAGTTTGAGAGTTCATACCTTTGCCCTACTTCCAGATTGCTCTCTTTTGTCTCATGTTTGTGGTTGAAGATGTAACCTCTCAACTTCCAGCTCTGGCCACCATGCCGGCTACTTGTTGCTACATCTCCCCACCATCGTGGACCCTCCCTCTGGAAGCATAAGTCTGAATAAACCCTTCATGGTGTTTTACCACCACAACAGAAAAATAAGCAATAAAGAAGTAAACCAGGAACTGAGGAAGACAGGAACCTGTAGAGAGCATGCTGGAAGAGAACAGACCTGGTAAAGGAAAATATGGTATTTTCCAAGTATTGAAAGAACACTACAGCCAGATTCCTGAACCCAGTGAAACTGCCCTCCAGGAATGAATGGGAAATTAAGACTGAAGGGAGGTCATGATTTCCTTTTTTTAAGGTTTACTTTTATTGTATGTATATGGGTGTTGTGATTGCATGCATGTCTGTACAGGTGGATCTCTGTGAGTTCGAGGTGAGCCTCGAACTACATAGCAAGTTCCAAGACAGACTGTCTTCAACCCCCTGTTAAGACTTTGTCTCAGCTGGCGGTGGTGGCGCACGCCTTTAATCCCAGCACTCGGGA